TTAAGCACAGTAAAAGAATGGTTAATGTCATAACACGCTGACAATTTAACCTGGCCAATATTTTTATTGCCTTGTACAATAAACCTAACAGAGCACAACTTGCTTTTTGACTGGTGGAAAATCGGTTATGAACCGCCAGGGAATGACCAATTTTTCAAATGCAGCCATTCAGTCACACTATAGCCACTAATACTTTTTTTCTCTGTACACTATTGCTGTTATAATCTTTTGAGGATATTTTATCACGGCAATAACCTCCTCAAAATCAGTCTTTACTGCAGTTAATGACTGGACAGCTGGAGCATTAACTGGCCTTGGCTTTGCCTCTAGCCATTAACTAACAAACCAGTTGTTATCCGCAGGTAACAACCAATTTCTTGTAGAATTTTCTTGATAAAGTGTCTCACTGGATAAAAGTTGGTTTTTTTTCTCCCTTCTTTCCCCAACTAAGATATACTAAGTGCAAGTTAGTATGTAGCAAATGAATCACAGAGAAGCAGCAGTAAGTAGTAGTGTTGAGAGGAAGTGAAATTATAAACCCAAATCCATGAAGTGTTGCTTGTTTACTCCTGCCAGCATTTTTGTAACATTAATGAAAGACGGCTCTGTCATGTCTTGGTCATTCAAGCAGCACGGGGCCCTGAATGTGATGCCTGTGCTGGGTCACAGCATGGTCGTCCTGTGGGAGCAAAGCAGGGCGTCTGTTTGCATCCCTTCTGCACAAATACCCAATGAAGACCTGAGATTAATTCCGTGTATTTTATACTTAATAAAGTGGGTATTATTTTTGAGGGCCCTCGTAAAATTTTAGCCTCTATGCTTGCAGTTGGAAGTTATGAAATGTTAACCTCTGTTTGGTTGCAACGTTATTTTATACGTAGGGTTAGCAGATTCAGATTAAATCAGTGCATTACTGAGGGGGCTTAAAGTAGAGATTCATGGCATTGTTAAATAGTAGCAGAATAAGTAAAATGTACAAATGAAACACCCGTAAAAAGCCAAGCTCTATCATGCCATAAACAATGGTATTTTAAAACTGTTAATAGGCTTAATAACAGTTTATTATTTTACCTTAACCCTTTTTAATGCCTCAATTTCTCTAGCATTTTTCTTGGCTGTGCTGAGCTGTTAATATCACTTCTTACATTTTCCCCTCTAGGTATGTTTTCCAGGAGAGGATATGAAGAAAAAGGAGCTGCAGCCATGCATTGGCTTTTAAGAAGCACAGGAGGCACTGTGATACCAAACCTTCCTTGGCTTGACTTTGGCGTATGGGATTGCCTTAGCATCAGTAGAAGTGGCAGAAGCATTCTAAAACCACCGGCAAAATCCTGAAGCAGGAAGAGCACGAAGGGCAGGTCAGGACTTCTGAGGGGTCATGATTCTCCATGCAGCACCTGACTTTGCACCCTCCCTCTCAGCTCCATGCCTAGCACCATGCCCTTCAGTGTGGATTTCTGTGTATTTCCAGGTGTTTGCAGAGTAGTTGTCTTTATTGTCTACCAGAAATAGAATAAATATCAACTTGAATTTCTAACTAGAGAGTCGATTTCAAATCATGATACATTTTGGAAGTAGTTTAATCTGGAAGGACTGGGGGGGTTCTTGGTGGCAAGTTTGTCTTGCCTTTGAAAGCCCTGCATGTTTTGTGCACGTGATGATTCCCTTTCTCTTTGGTTTGCGCATGCGGCTGTCTAGTGCTATTGGAGCTTTCATTTGGGCATTGAACAGGCCCCTTTCATTGCACGTGTGCTAACTACCAATATTATTTGCGATGCAAGCATTTCTGGCAATTTGAAGTGATCCAATGATTTTTAAATCATTCTTAATTTCATAAGTCTACTCCTTTAATCTCTTTCAAATTAGTGAAAATGTAAGGCATTCTAAACATTTCTGATCATTCTTCACGGCTTTGGCCCCATAAAGCCGATCTTTTCCAAAGTTAAGCACTTAAAAATTTGAAGTACTCCAATAAATTTAAATTGGCATATTCTGTGCATATCAATTTAGAATTATTAGAGCATTAGAGCCTAGGAGTGATGGCTGAGGGCATGCAAACCAGTTCATACATTGATTTTTAATGACTTCTTATTGATTCCGTGCTTTTTAAGCTTGATACCCTTAGGTTGCCTCTTAGATGGAGTTAAGAGGTTTCTGATGATACGCTAAGTTTAGAAGAGGCATCTTTTCCCTCTTTTTGTTTTCTCCTTATGGCTTATTATTACAACTTAGCTCTGATGCAAAGACCAAATGCACTTGATTTGTGACTTTGGAACTGGTGGTTATGACTTGAACAGGATGTGGCTCTTCGTGTTTCCCCAGCCTATCTGTAGACAAGGTTTATGCTCAAACCTTTAAGGTCTCTCCACCCCTCAGTGTGTGCACTTTGCCCATTGCAGTGATGGATGCCCTGGGCTTGCACTGACAGCAGAAAGAAGCTTCTTTGTAATTTTTAAATGTCAATCTTAATTTGTTGGGCCAAGATACTGTAGGTGTCATAAAGCACAAAGTGAAAATGTGCTTTAGTTCTTTTACCTTTTGAAAATCATTCACTTGTATAACAAAGAACACATTCCCTTGTTCAAATACTGCATTTGTTACCTTCAGTGCTGCCCTGTTGACTGGCATGCTATCAAGGCAGTCAGTACCGCTGGTAATGGCCTGGCACTGCCCTGGGGCAGGAGGAAGACTGGGATGGCATGCAGACCCATGGGAAACACAGAGCCCCTTGGTGTGGCTGCCCTTGGCTGGCTGGTGGCAGCTCAAGGATGTGTCCAGACCCACAGGGGGCAGATCAAGGAAGCACTACGCTGAGCCATTACACCATTGCCCTTGCTTGAGTGTGAGATGTGCTTCGTATGTGGGTCACAACAGGACAAGTGGGAATATTTCTAATAGATTAAATTCTTGTGGGCTCTCTTCAGTGCTTCTCCCCTGCTGCTTCAGCTGTGCTATGTGAGCCTTTTCGGGAGGCAGAAACTTAGAGCCTGTCTCCTAGACCACTGCCTGTGATGCCTGGAGACCATGGCACGCAGGTGTCCCTCTGCCCCCGCCAGGCGTGATCCCTCTGGCTGCAGTTAAGGCACGTAGCCGTCTGAGGAGACAGTAATTGCTGCTAACTGTGATGGGCGCTTCTGTCCTTAGGCTTTGTTTAGGGCAAATTCCTCTGCAATTGCATTGTTAGAAGCCATGGGCCTGTTAAAGTCGGAGTTATTAGGCCATGTGCTTTCCGTGTGTTGTCATTGTGGGAACGCCACCAGAGCCAACGTCTGTGCAGGGCAGGGGAAGTGTTAAGTGAAGAATAAAAACAAGTCCAAATTCCCATTTGGAAACTGCATGCCTCAACAAATACCACTGTTCGTAGCAAGTTATTAGCTTTGTGGTTGTAATTCTGGTCCTTTTCAGAAGGGAGGTGGAAAAAAGCATGTAAAAGAGATTTTTGATACTTCACGGTATATTGACTGAACAGCAGACAGCTCCCCAGTCTGCTCGTTCCCCTTTACGGCTTGGATGTGCTTGTGGTAACTTCTTTCTTGTTCTTTAAGTGAGTCCTTGGGTCTCCCTGTGGGCACCTTAGCCACCCACAGTGCAGATGGAGAATGCACCTTCACCTTATAAATCTGAAACATCTCTGTCTTTTTCAGGCCACCTACAGACGAACTTGTACAAAAAATCTCTTCTTTCAAATAGCAAAGTTTTCTCTACTGCAGGCATTATGTGGGCCTGCTGATGGGAATGAGCTGGTCTTCCTCCACTGGGTACCAAGGAAGGAGAGGCAGTGCATCTCTGGGTGAGAGCTGCCTTTTATATATTTATTTAGAAGCAACTCTGAGCAACAGCACGTTTACTAGCTTGGCTCATTTTTATGGGCTTGATTCATTGCTTATTAAAACCAATGGAAATCTTTCCATTGTTTTCAGCTGGTTCTGGCTCAGAACTTCTTGGTGCTTGACAGTATTTAGTAGGAGCTGAAAGATCTGAACTTCTAAATCATGATATATAATGGTCTTCTGCAATGCCTGTTTCTTAATTATATACATAATCCCAATATTTGTTGCAGTATGTTTCTGGGCGAGCAATTTCTACGTTGTTAATTTTTCATGTGCATGATGTAGCAAAGTAGTTAAATAAAATATCAATATTGTATTTATCACAAATGGAAAACTAAATATTGAGATCAGTTCTATGCAGTCGTTAGTTTATGGACCGAGCCCTCTGAAGAATGTCACAAATTCCCTCGATGCCCCTGAGGGCTAAATTTAGTATTTGGACCTTTGATTAACTGAAAGATACATTAAAAACTGATATAGTCAAACAATACCCTGTGGAGCACGCATCTATGCTGGCTTTTATGTCACAGTTATTTCACTCAAAACTTGGCAGTAAATTATTTCATCCAAAAGTTGTTAAGGGATATGCCAGGCATAAGCATGGCAGCGTATTTTGGGATGATAGCAGGTCAACAATTTCAGCCTCTCCAGGCTGGCTGTTAAATGCATATGTATGAGAGGTATTCGTGCAGCTGTGTGTAGACTTCCATGCACCTCTGGATGGTCATACACGGTAGATGTGTGCTGTGAGAGCTGATGTGTTGCAGAGAACTGGGAATTCCGAAAGCCAAAGTATTTAGTGGAGCTGTTCGCGTTCTAACAAAGATCAGAGTGATCATCATTGCCTCTTTTTATGTTGACTTTCTGAAGATAATCTGGTAGCTAGAGCTTCAGAGAATCTGCAGATTTCAAGGCACTTTAGTAAAATATTATGAGACGATGAATTTGTAAGCACTGTTACCTGTCCTAGAAAGCAGATTCTGAGAGGACTACTTCTATCCCTTATAATTTAATATATCGTGTAATGAAAACTAATCTATGTAATTCAAATTCAGACATTTGAAACGAGTTAAAGGGGTCAGCATATACAATACATTTCTCTTTGCCAATTTACTCAGTTAATTTAGACGTTGCCTTTTCACTTTAACTCATTAAAACTTTCTTGCCAAGTTTACTTATCTGTGTTAAGAGTACAATTAATATTATAATTTTTAATTATCCACTTAGTTTTATCAGAACCAAAGTGTTTCCTTAAATGTGGATATCAAAATAGAGCCTGTATTTTTTAAGAAAGTGAAGCTCTGCGATTTCACTAATTCCTTAATAGCACAAATATTTATGTATCTTTCTCTGTACTATTTATACATCAATAGTTGTGTTGTTTTGTTTTATGTTATAACCCTGGTATAGAGTACAACAGAAAGCTGTATTTTGAACTGCTTAATTCTTTACCACTCATTCTGATTTATGGCATCGTTTTGTTTCCAGCTCATTCCTTATCTTCAAAAGGCTTGATCCCAAACTCATCAAATTCAGAGAAGTAGATCCCAGTGGTCTTTGGATTAGTCTGGTAGGGTGAAATTGTGGACTTCATGAAGTTTGCTTTACATGTGCAGATAGGCGCTAGTAAGATTACTCAATAGATTTCTAATTCAGCTTCTTCTGTGTAGGAGCAAGTTCTTGAGAATCCTGGCCTTGCACTTGAAATTTAAGAGACCATTTTAGTTGCATATATTCATCCATTTTCTTACTATGAAACTTGAGAATACATTTATTTGCCAGTTTGATTTTATCATCATTATGGAGGACTCATGTTTCTAATTTCTTCTACAGGCTCTTGAATTGTTAATGTTAACTCCTACTGAACTCAACTTCGTTTTCTAATGGAGAGACACATTCTGAACTGCTAAAGATATGTTCTTGGGGAATGGAAGTCATAATAACGTCCAGCTCATTACAAAGGGACGGAAAAGCATTAATGCAGAAGACAGATGCTAAATAATAATACAAGGTATTTATCTTATTATTTCTTAGTTACAGCTGTATGGAGTGATAGTTATAGAATTGTGCAACTGATTTAAGTTCTTCAGTGAAGCATTAACTGTTCTGTCATCCTCAGAGCTCTTGCTTTTCTTTTACACCTGACACGGTCAAGTTGGATGAACCTGGACGTATTTTCCACTGTGTATCAGCTAGAACATTCCTGTGTTTGCAATTTACTTGATAGTCCCTGGTATCCTGGACAGTTATGTATACAGACTGCTGCACACAACATTATTTTTATTAAATACAGAAGTATGTTAATATGAAATGATTGTAACAGATACTATCAGATAATCACGTACGCTGCAAGCGACCTTAAAAAGCATTTTTTATATATAGCTGCAGTGTCTGATACATAGCTATTGTGCAGCTGATTAGCTGTGGTGAGAAATTACTCATTCCCCTGTATTAACTACACTGTTTAACTATGTGGTTTCCACCAATCAGTATGAAGTATGCCAACTTTGTTTAGCCTGTGCACTTGTGCAATGATGAACAAGTAATGCATAAAACAAACCCTCCTACCTAATCAAACATTCCTCAGAGATTTGAAAACAGAAACAAAGGGTAAATCCATTCATAGATTATAATGGTAAAACAAAATAAAATTTGACATATGTATATGGAAACTATGAACACATGATGTGAATAATTTTTTTCAACAACAACATGTTTGAATTATTAATAAATGCAAAAAATATGTTGTAACACAATATGGAACAATTGGAAGGATATATTTCTTTAGAATCACAGAGGTCAGGAAAGATCTCTATTGAATCCAAACACTATATATTTTTTCCTCTCTTGGTTTGCATTTTAGCCTTTTCAAATGTCTCTCTTATTGCAAAACACTGCCATGGTTATAGATGGGAGAAGTTTTCCTTTTCGATCCTTGAGCCTGTAGTACAATTTTCTTCTCTGAGAACATAACAAATGAAGTTTGTTAACTTCAGGGTGTGAAACCTGTATTAGTCTTCTCAACCAAAGGTGTTAGGTGTTGAGGACAGCTGATGAACAATTCTCTATAGAAGACTGTACAGTTATCCAGGAAAGGGCTTACACTTAATTTTGTCATATATCCTGGTTGCCAGCTTATTTGATTTTAAGATAATTGATGGGCCTCTTTATGGGTATATTTTTTCTTAGTCATCAAGATAGCTCAAAATATTTGATAAGAGTTACTTTACAGGACAGTAGTAAATATCGACAGAATGAGATACCGGATTTTTTTTCTTGGTCTTTTTCTCTTAAGATTCGAGCAAGCACAGTGCTTGCAGATTTGATGGGCGCTGTGGTGAGAGAGTACTGCAGTCATTTTCACTGTTGGCTGCACATTGGTTGGGGGCCGATGTCCTGCCCTTCTCTACAGTGCTTATTCACTTCAGTGTTTGCTGTGTGAGCAGATAATGTACAAAATAGTCATCAGCTTAAACATCATATATAAATAAAATTTTAAATTGAAATCATCACAAACGAGTCAGAGTAAAGACAACATTGAGCTCTTACAGAAAACCATGAGAGTGAACAATAATGCCAGCTTTAACTCTGAATTCCCAGTTATGTGGGCTTGTACCCCAACCTTAACATTAATTGGAAGCTTTTCTGCATTTCGTCTCCTCATTTACAAAAAATCTTTGCCGAAAGGTTATATAAAACTCATTATTTACCTGAGTGACCAGGAAGGCTCTCAAAGTGCCATTCCAAGCTCTCGGGTGAATGCTTATTTATAGTTTTTTAATAGGCATTCATTACCTGATGAATTGGAAAGACTCTTTTTGAACCAGTTCCTGTCTATTGGTTAAATACAGATTGATAACTTTTTCTTAAAAAGCTTATTATTAACTAGATAAGCTCATCACCTTTGGATTTCTAAAGTGGTGATTAGTTTTAGCTTCCAAGGGCTTATTCAACATTTTCACTAGTGTAACTGAAATTTTACCCAGTGGGCCACATATTGTGGAAATGAATTATAGCATCACAATGCTTGCAAAGTATGGACTGCAGAAGTAACATGGACTCATTCACACAAAGAAGACGTGCCTCAAGCCCATGCATTTGATCATAGATTGTCTAGTCCATGGATGGGGTGTAGAGGATGGGAAAGGGTGTAGCAAATTTTAAAATGCCTATGAGCTTGGAAAAGGTGTCAGGAATATTTTAATGCCTTAAAGGACATAAGGCCCGGTCATCTCTGAGTTTCACAGGTTTTGTTTGGTGTATCAGTCAGCTTCTGAGGATTTGCTTCTAGCTACACTAGGAAAAAAAAAACAACAACTAACAAAACAAAAACAAAACCCTCTCTGCGTTTTTCACAAATGCAGTTTGGCAGTGGATGCTTAGAGCTGAATGTAAGCTGTCTCTGTGAGGATGGCTGGTTACCTCATACAGTGGTTACCACTTTGTGAAGTGAGATCCATCCTGTCCCAGCCATTCGACCCTCAGCAGCGCTACGGGCAATGCTTGCTTGGCATGGCTCCAGCACGCAGGCAGCTCCAGCTCCTTACCCACCTCTGCAGCTGTTAGCACATCTGTAGGATTTCAGAATGACAAGTCCTGGCTTACAGAGGTGTAAAACAACATGGCCATACATGCTCATGCCTTGTGATCCTTGAGGGCTCTTTCAGTTTGTAATTTATATCCTAAAATGACACTCTTATATAGCATCTGTTACAACTTAAATTCAACATAAAGATGAAATGGCATAAGAAGAAAAAAAAGAAAAAAAGAGCCCTAAGCTTAAAAAAATCTTTAAAAACGGGTAGCTTCTTTGAATTCTCTAGGACTTCAATTCCTAAACAGGCTTGAAAAACTAAAACAATGTTTTGTGGCTGCACTGTTGATTTTATTGCTGCTTATCTGTAGGATGCGAGAATACCTGGGTTTTCAGGCTTTCCCTTACAACTGCCATTTTTTTCTCCAATTGCTTTTTTTTTCTTTTTTTTTTTTTTTTTTTTAACTTTGAAATTTCAGTTCTGTTCGCAATTTTTCCCCTCCTTGGAGTGGAGAAAAGTGGTGAGAAGGAGTGGTGGTGAATACTCAAGAGAGAGCAGATCTTTCTCATCTTTTTGAGTAGAACAGGTTTTCAACCATCTGATGAAAACACCCACATTTTTGTCTTACTTTCCAGTCGTTTCAGAGAAATGGATTACCTGTGATTTCATCTGATTATGCAGAGATTTTTTTTTTTTTTTTTTTAAAAAAAAAAGACCTAGGTTTCTGATGTAAAATTAGTAGCTGGGAAAAAAAAATTCATTAGGTGAGGAAACTGAAAATAAATACCAAAAGCCTTAAAGCCTTTTGAACTTAGCAGAGAGAACAGAAATAATAAAGGTCATAGTGCAGTTGTTCTTTTACATCGTGTTTGCTGTTAAAAAAAAAAAAGAAAAAAAAGATGGAAATGTCTATCTTACATGTAAAGTATTATCTTTTAGGAAGCCAGTTTTGTGTTTGGTTAAGAAATCCTTAAAATCTCATTTAAAATGAGGTAAGCAAAAATAATTATACTCTTTGCCTCCCTCTGCTGGCTGTGCAGACAGAGTTAATTGGCTTCATGTCGTGTGACCCTCTGATTTGAAGCAGGTAGGTTGACTGTAGTGGTGTTAGTTTCAAGTGTGGATAGAGATAGGTAGGGAAACAGCTAAATATGAACAGAATTATGGAAAGAGAGGGAATTTAGAGAGAAACAACAAGTCTTTATTTTTCAGGCTTTAAATTATGAGAAACATGTTTGTTATTAAGGAAGGTCCTTTAACCTCCCCTGAACTCATATTCTGGACTGGTTTATATGAGGACAGGAGAGTCATATGCATTTTCTTTGAAGAAAGGCCAGGTGCTGAGGTATAGCAACAATATTTTGGCAGGAAAATGGCAAATCAAATCCAACTGTCCAAGAGGGCTGGATATGAGCAGAGCTGAACAAATCTTTGTGTGTACACACATCATTCAGGTGCTTTGCATTACACAGAGCTCTCCACTTCATCAGTTTTCAGATGTTCTGTTCTGCACTGGTGTCACTTTGTACTGATGCGTGTTTTTCAAATACATATCATAGAGCAGTCCTCTGTCCCACACCCAGAGCCTCTGCAGTTCTCTGGGGACATCGCTTACATCCCTTTTGATGTTCAGTCTCCTGTGAGGAGGTGAGGTAGCTCTCCCTGGGGGACAGAGCAGGCGGAGCAGGGCTCCCCATTGGGGTGTCATTTGTCATGCTCTCGGGCACCGGGCTTTACAAGACGTTTATGGTCCCGTGACAGCATACCTAGAAAGGCACAGTGCTCTTCTCTGTATGTAATTCTGGCTTTTTGGGTCTGTGTAGCAGTGGCATTTAATAAGGATTCCAGGGTTGTTATTTTTTCTGTTTTTAAATGAGACCCACGGGGTGGTATCCCCGGGGCATGGGAAGCAGCCAGGGGCATGGGGCATGCCATGCCAGCTGGGCCTCGTGCAGCTGCTGGGTGAGAGGGGCTGCATTTCAGCTTGGTAGAATACAGCTGCTTTTGGACAAAAAGCTGTGGGGAAGTTCTGCCCCAAAACCTGTCTCTCAGTCCTCTCCCTTCTCAGATGGCCAGCACGGTGGCAGAGTTTCTTGGCTGCTGGCTGCCACATCTTTGAGGTGCTGCCACCTTGACTGTGAGGCCACAGTACTGGGGACATTGTGCCAGGCTGCGGCGTCCTGGCATGGCCCAACCTTGGGGGACAAACAGGGACATCTCAACAGGTGTTGGCTGTGAACAGCCGCCTCCTGGGGCTGCCTGGGGCCAAGGATGCTGCAGATGGCACAGGGGCAGCTGCTGAGGTAAGAAGGGAGACGGCATCTTTAAAGCCACCTCACAGTGCAGCCTGTGTGTGGCACTACCAAGGAGTGCTGCCTTCAGCAGCTGTACTCTCTGGGGAAACTGCTCCAAAAGTGGGAACGTGGTCTATCGTGAACTGCTGATCTCTGAGATCCTCCTGAAATATCCTAGACCTCATCCAATCCCCCTTGCAACACAAGACGGTACTTCAGTCCAGACACTGGCATCTACCTAATCCACTGCAGACAGGGCAGTTTCAACAAATGATAAACGCACTATGGTGTTCTTTGCTCATGGTACCCAGAAAGAGCAAGATATTTTCCAGCTTCGAGTAGCCCCATCCCTGTATGCACAGCTCACTGTTTAAGGTAAGCATTGGTATAACAACCTTAATTACTGCGCTGTGGGGCTTCAACTGTGAAACCTTAGTTTAAAAGGTAAGATTTAAACATTTTCAGCAGGTCTTTAAAATCACTGTTTAGCTGTTTTCTCTAGGCATTTATCTGCAAACTTTCTGATAGCACTAAATGTGGTGAGGAGGGCTCACCAAGGGCTGAGGTGGGAGCTGCAGGGAACCAGTGGGCATATTGGTACTCATCAGTAGGGGCAAGCAGCCTGAGTGCTGGGGTGAACCATGAGATTATAATCATAAGAAGCCTACAGCTTGCTGGCTGATCTCTGGGACCAGGATGGAAAGAACTTGGAGAAGTTCAAGAAGAAAGAATTGAAAAGGTAGAATATTTATTAAATTAGTTGGATAAGAAGGAACTCGTACCCCCAGAACCATTCCTGGCTCTGATCTCAGAGAGAAGATCAAATAGAATCTCTTTTAAATAGTGTTGGCATCCTGAGAACAGGTTACATGTGAATTTGCTGCAAGAGTAAGGTCAGAGCCAATGCACTTTAAAGTTGAAGTTCAGCTATCACTTTGGATATTTTTTCCAGTATGTTCTCTTCTGAGTCAATCATAATTCCTAATGATTATAGCTGGGAAAGTACACCTGTGGTACTAATCTCATGTAAATTTAAATGCTAATGTTTAAATCTTGGAGCAACAGTTGTCTCCCCATCTTCTATCTTCTGCATGTACTAAGACTTACTGCACCTTTCATTCTTGCTCTTTCAGAGAATTTCTGAGCCCCTGTTGTGCTGAATGGGAGACAGACAGAATTATGTCCTGCATGGGGTTATAAAAGCTGTGTCTCTATTCTGGAAGCAGAATTTACTCGACTCCACTAGGTGGATCTATTGAGAATATTGTTCACTATTTAATATAAAGTATGTCCTTTGCTTTGGGAAAGGAAAAAAAAAAAAAAAAAAACGAAACACTTTTTGTTTTACCATTTTGCTTAGATTCTTACATTCAGTAGAAATTCAAAGGTAACCACTTTTGTCCATAGAAAACTTCAAAGCCAGGTCTCCAGCCTGGCAGTCTCAGTAATACTTGGATGGACCATTTCATTCCAGTTTCACCCTTGCTTTGGAAAGAAAGAAAATATCAGTGTTGTTAGGATTATGAGAGAGATCTGTGCCTCCACACAAGATACTGCTTCCATTCCACATCTTCCTGGTGTCCGCTTCATACTTCCTCTTATATTCTTTCGTAATGCCTGTGATTTGATGGAATGTTGCAATGACTGTGACAAATAGTGGCCAAAATAGATTGCTGGCCTCAGTGTATACTTTTAGTGGACTCACCAGCTTTTTGGACATCTGGCTTGGTGACAGTTGACTGCTACAGTTGAGGATGCAAATGTATTAGCTAAAAAATGAGGTCGTTTGTTTTCATTTAGTTTTTTTTCCCCCTAAATTCTGATCACCTCTACCTCTGAATCTCCATGATGATGACACATAATATTTGCTGATCAAACCTGTTTTGTGACACTTATTTTGGCTGTGGTCCCTAGGAAATAGACAGCTTGTTCTCAGATGGGTTCTCTCTCTGGTCTGTTTTGAAAACTGGGATCTTCAAGGTCCTTTTTCCAGAAAGCTTCTTTACACAGTCTGTACAAGTGGGAAAACTTTCATCCACCTTGTCAGTTTGCTGGGGTTTTGCCCAGGAAACTCCTATGTTTTTAACAAGCATTTTGGAAGGGGTTTCCCTTTTTCCTGTGAAAGTGTTTTATTTATGTCTTTTTGAACCATGCTTCAGCGACTTTCTTGCTGGATGACTTGTGTTTTCGCTGGCTCAGGCTGCCATGTAGATCGCACCACCTGCTCCAGAGTTTGCTGAAACATTTACTGTAAGTTTTCTGAAATTCCTTATGTAAAGTCCCTGCTATTAGATGGTTCCTTTTGTGAGCTTTTCCTTATCAATATTAAAGACCTGATGTTCTGCTCTTCCTCGGAAAAGAGACCCTCCTTCTAAAGGCACTAAGCTTTCAGTGGGCTTCTGCAGCCTTTGTAAAAAGAATGCCCACTTGTTTATCACCTCTCTTTAGGAAGGAAATGCTGATCACACTTTTTAAGAACAAAGGCAGGATTATTCCTCAATCCTTCCTCATAAAGCAAACAATTTATAAATATTTAAATATATAAAGCTAATGTTTCTCCCTTACCCCACTGTGTAAATTACTGTAGGACTATTTGTATTTTGTTACTTCCCTGTATAAAGCCTCATAAAATATTCCTCACACCTCTCCTTTCACCTGAGTTTTTTGTTGGGTTCATCAAAGTTGTGAGATTTGCGTTCTTGCTTTTTATTTATGTCTGTCTGAAATAAGAGCTTCTGAAGCCCTGTCATTTCACAGAGGTGGAAATCACAAGGAAAGATAATGTTGCCTGGCCAAAACCCTTAGCTCTTATTTTCTCTTGTGCTCCTTTTCAAGGTTTAACATATCTGTATGCAAGAGCTTCCTGAGAAGATGCCCACTGTTAAGCAATGTACATTTCTTCTGCTCTTTGTTCTTCTTCCTGTAGTGTTTTTGACAAGTTAAACCACACAGAGTATTCCTGCTTATGCACAGAAGAGGTACAAAAGGGAATAAAACCAACCAGAGAAATTGGAGAAGTAGCTATGGACAGTAGAGCCTCTACACCTTGAAGACATAAAGACTTGTAGAAAAAATATCTTCTTTTGGATGCAAAAGGAGAAGAAAGTAATACTGGAGGGCACTACAGAAGTGCTAGTGGTGTTGAGGACATTAGGAATTCCAAGAAAGATTGGAGCAAAGTCTCCGTCAGCTCATGTCTGAGGTCTTCTAAATCCCATCTATCCAACATTGCATTAGAAGCCTAAGCATGTCATTGAGTCAACACAGTTTTGGGAATTCTTGTCTCTATGGATGTACTCAGCTCACAAGCATACATTATTTCATCAGGCTCCATTTTGGGGAAAGGCTGGCCATCCCAGCCCAAATAACCATGCTTATGATGCCCCAGGAAAAAGAATTTTGGTTGGTCTTCTTTAAAATGCCTTCCTCTGATAGCACCATTTCTTGCAGAGTAGCCCCCTCTTCCAGACTTTGAGAAACTTTTGGTTGGCATGTTCCTCCTGTGGAGTTGAGTTGTCATCATCTGTTGATGGGGGACAAACAAAAATTGGCTGAACATTCACCAGTAGCGCATCATGGCTCTGCTGTCAGCTCAGGGAGGGTTTAGTACATCTGTTTGGCTTCCTGGGACATGGTTCCTGATCTTTGTCCACTTACAAATTTCTGGAGAGAAACTTCTGTCCCCTCCAGAACAGAAAGAGGAGGATAAATATATTAATTTTTGCAAGCATCAGAGTCAAAGTCTTCATCCTCACTCTTTGTATTCACTTTGTTCGCTGTCATTAAAAGAGCATCAGGCACTTTTACCAAAGGAACAGGAAATCCTAGTGAGATGTCTCAAGCTCCTCTGCTGTCAGTTGCTGTTTCACCTATCTCTAGCCATATTCTTATCTTTGTCTTAGGAAAAAGAACCATGGGGTTTTCCTGAGCTTTCGTTCTTCTGCAACTTATGTGTGCAATGGTCTCAAATCTCACGCCTGCCAGGACTCCAGGTGCCTGATTTGGCCCTTGTGTCTGAAGTGCAGTCACCTCCTACGTTGAACTGTGAAGCCCTAGGTCACGGAAATCATAAGGTGAAATCTGATATTAAACCAAAAAGGTGTAGCTTATTCCTTTATGAGACTGCTAATAATGTTCAGCCTTGACAGGGTTAAAAGGCAACATCCATTTCCCCATTATCTTGTTTAAAAAGTGCCTTTTTTAAAGTCCATATGGCGACTTCCTTTCGACCTGCTTTCCCATCCTCGTCTCTTTGTCAGGGCTGTCACTTATAAAGAATCACTTGACTTACAATAACAAGTTCAAAAGAAGACAGAATATAATCAGTTGATCCACGAAGAATTGAAATAAAGAACACCCCCACTGCTCCAGTTATCATTCCCATAGAGATAGTGATATTATTGATGTGATTGCTATGCTAATTTCTATAGAAAAAACTTGTATTTTGGAATTTGTTCAAAGAGAATTTCAGACACATCAAATTGGAAAATGCAGAGTGAATTCCTAAACTTTTTAGTATAGGCATGGGAATCTTTTTTTCTTCTTCTTCTTTTTTTTTTTTTTTTTTTTTTTTTTTTAACATTGAATAGCTCTGAACAACTATTTATAAACTCCCTTTAAAAATCAATTGGAAAATATGTTGCTAATTTTTCAGTTGTTATAGAAAGTTAATTTACTGCAGTCCCAGGAAAAAAAAAAAAAAAAAGTCCTACAGTACCTATAGAGTTATTAATATCATCCCTCTGCCCTGCACGTGGGATTGGACCACGGAACCCAGAAAAAGAGGCTAAGGATTATAAAAGATGGGTACGCTTAAGTGCAGTGTTTAGGAAGGGCTAATTAATCTATACCCCTTCCTCTGCAATTCCATAGTCCCTCTGGGAATTGCCACAGACATAAACTTTTTTTTTTTCCCTCTTTTTCTTGGACTCCTATTTTAACCAGAAGGTTTCAGCTTGTGATGTTATGCTTTTTATGTAGTAAACTGATTTAAAATGTATGCCAGTCATCTTCAGGGAACTCATTTCAGTCAAGATGAAACTAGTCTTACCTGAATCAATGTTTTAAGTGTCCCTGTGGCTCGGCATTTTGAATAATCAATCTGTCTCCATCGCTTCTTAATCATGCGCATCACAGTCTTTTTTATTTGTCAACCCTTTCCGATCCTGGCTTTTTGTTATTAACATGCCCCTAATGTCACATGCAAGCCTTTTCTTTAAAACAAGCTGCTCATTGGTGTATTTTGATACTTTTTATTATTACTAAATCTTTTTTCCCATAATTACACCACAATCATTATATAATCCCATAACAAAGAGTCTATTGAGGCACCATGCTTTTGTCAACTATGGGACACAGAATCCATAATTGCATTATTCAGCTTCTCTCTCTTCCCCCCCTCCACCCCCCCCCCCCCCCCTTTGTAGAAACACAACCTATTTCACCAGTCACATTTGCACCTTGTTTGCTCGGTTATATATTATTTACTAAATCGTTGCCCTGCGGATAAACCTTGTAAAGTTGCTTTAAAAAAGTTATTTGTTTGATAATTAAGTCCTGAAAACCCATCGTTTAATGATTATTCCGAACCCATAAGGCAGAGAACCTCCATGACGTTTTTCTCTAAGTTTAATTACCGTATGCTAATTTCCTTGCCTACTACGTGATTAATTAAAATCATATTTTCATAATCATTTGGCACTAGTATTGTTTTAGAATTATCATGATCCCCTAAATAGTGTATGTAAATAAAGTCGGCTCTAATGGAAAGAATCAAAATGCAACGCTGAGGACCTTTATGTGTTTGTATGCATGCGATTGGCAACATAACTGGCTTATTTACATTAAATACGCCACAAGGTTACAGTGCAGATCAACGTCACTTTATCGCTGATTACTTCTCTTAACCGCCGGAGCGGTGACTGATGCTCCGGTCCCCCGTCCGCCCAGCTTTCCCCGGGAGTTTTTTTCGGGAGCCGCAGACTTTGCACACTTTCGGATCAGGTACGGGGGGCGCCTCGGGGAGCCCCCGGGGGGGCGCGGGGCGCGGGCGTAGGCGCGGGGCGCGGGCGCGGGCGCTGCGCGGGGGCTGCGCGGCGCGGGGGCTGCGCGGGCCGGGGGCTGCGGGGCGGCGCGGGCTCCTCGGGGTGTTTACACGGGCTCAAGGTCACGACCAAGCCGCGCCGTGTTAAATGGTTTCTTAGTTGCCAGACAGGGAGAAAAAATGGACGATCGCAGACCATTCTTTGTAGATTATTATATCAAGGGTTCAGCTTTTGGCTCATCAAAGCTAAATGCCGCAAGACCTATCTAGTTGCTGTGAATTATGCCAAGACGACAATGGAGTGCTTTTTTAATGGTACAATGCATTTCACCTACCAGATAGGGGGAGTCCACGCTGAGAGATGGGGATGTCTTGTGATGTTGGGTGATCGGTATCAATGAAGGGGGTGATTCTGAAAAGAGACAGATTAAAATAAAGCGCTCTCTGCCCGGGATGTGCTGGAAGCAGTTGGGAGGGCTACCCGGAGCGGGCGGCCGCGGCAGCCCCGCGCCACACTTTTCCCCCTCCGCACCAGAAAATGATCAAGTCAATCATGTGGACATGCTTCATTATTCATTGAACACAATCTTTTACAACGCTCCGTTTACGTGCGGGAGTTTCTTCTACGCTTTGCTTTAAATTTGAAGGTAAGAAAGACAAAGGTAAAAAGGGGGTTTTGGAGGATCCGGGAGGCTCCCGCGAGCCGGCAAAGAGGCTCCAAAGTCAGTCCGGAGTACGGTTCGCTTTTGTTTTTTTTTTAATTTCTTTTTAATCATCGCAACGGGGCCTGCGTTTTCCACCGCGATTAAAAAAATACGGTATAATTAAATATCCATAGCAGTGACGTTTGCAAGCAGGGCTGTCAGGGGAAAAGCAGAAAATAATGAAAGGAGCGGAGAAGCCATTGAATGGCGCTATAGAACTTAGCCTGAAGAAAACCCGTACGTTTTGCCTCTTTCTCGCTCGTTTCTTTTCGAACCGTTACTTCGCGGAGCGGAGCCGGGCGGGCGGGCGCGGGGAGCCTCGGCCGGGGCTGCCCTCCTCACGGCGAGCCGCACCGCCCCTGTCCTCAACTCGCCCAGAAACTTTGTGTTTTCGACGGCTGCCGCCGAGCAAACTTTGCCGAAGTGACTTTAACAGCGGGCCCCCCTTCCTCCCTCGCTTTCCCCCCTTCCTCCCCCCACCCCCCCCGAAGGATCCCGGCTAATCGCGGTGTAATTTGTAAACTCCCCCCCAGCCCCCCCCGCTCCGCTTTTTTTTTTCTTTTTTTTTCTTTTTCTTTTTTTTTTTTTTTTAAATCAAAGTTAGCTGATGCATACCATGTGTCAAACTTGTGAGATTCAAGTGCCTAAGAGACCTGCCATTTTGTGCTCTAATCGACCTCTTATGAATAGGAGCCGTGCATAATGCTGCGAGGAGCGTTGTGACATTCAAGTAGGCACTAAATGTCAGGCCGGGTCTCAGCCCGGCGGGGGGAGCGCAGCGCCCGGCGGGGAGCGGGAGGCACCTGCCAGCCCGCGCCGGGCTTTGTCAGCGCCCGGAGAAAGTAACAGGTTAAGGAGGAAACTTAAATGGCACCGCCGGGGGGAGCGGCCCCATCCTCGTCGGCGGCGGGCGCGGGGCTGCGGGTGCGGGGCCGGGAGGCGGGGGCACGGCCGGCGGCGGGATTAGCGGGGGGGTCGGGAGGGGAGGGGGGGGGGGAAGGAGAGGTTCTTTGATGCCGCGTAGGAAAGAATCCAGATTTTAATGCGCCCATCTGTTGCAGTTTTGCAAATAATTAATATATGTGCGTGCGTGTGCGGGAGGGAGAGGGCTGGAGGCAGCGGTGACGCCCGTGAACTTTAAACGCAAAATAGAAGGTCGCGGAGATTTACGCGTCGTTCGGAGGGTCCGCGCTCCCGCCCCGAGGGGCTCCGGCCCAAAAGTTACTCGGGGCGGCCGGGCCGCGGGGCTCGGGGCGGCGGGTGCCGGCGGGGCGGGGAGGAGGGCTCCGGCCGCCGGGGAGAGCTCCGGCCGCCGCCCGAGGCAGCGGGGCATTGTTGGGGCCGGGCCGGAGCCGGCGCCGGCGCGAGGCGGGGACGCGGCGCGTCACATCCCCGTTCGCTCCGGCCGCCGGCGGGGCTCGGTGCGGGGCAGGAGCGGCGCGGGGCGCGGCTGCCGTCCGCCCGGCTGAGCGCTCCGCGGGGCTGCGCTCCCCCCGCCGCCGCCCCCCCGTGCAGTTTAAAATAAATCCAACAGGGGCCGTGTTTGCTGAGCTGATCTGACCGCTTGATACAGATAGCGGCGGCGAGCCTCCCCGCTTATGTGGAAAAAGACTATTTTAAGTGTCATAATTAAGTTTAGAAGCCTTGTTTGGGCTCATTCACTGCTCGAAATAAAAAGGACTGGCTGCTTTTAGAGCCTTTCTGAAGGGGTTGGCGAAGCGCCTCTGCACGTTTGCTCGGAGAAGAATGTTTTCTTTTCTAGTTTAATATTAGAAACTATATTTTTACTCGTTTGAACTGGATTTGATTATTCCTGCGGAGGTTTTTTTTCTTTCCTCTCTCCCCCCCCTCCACCCCCCCCTCCCCTATCACTCAAATCTTTGTTCATTGTTCATTGACTGGGGAAAGGCTGCTTAAATGTACGGAGAGAGTGGGGAGGCCCCCTCGCTGGTTTGATGTTGAAATAGTAAACCTGAATGAGGAGGGTGGCTGGAAAAGTGGACATTGCAGCTTTAATTAACTTCAAGATGCTTCGGCGAGGACCAGAGCGTAGTAGTGACGTTGCCTCATAAATCTGCCCAGTGCCGTGCGTTGCATTGAACTATTACAGTATCACCGTCATGCTGAATATTCACTACCTATCCGGGAGCAGATTTGCATAATTGGATCTTTTTTTCTTTTCTTTTTTTTTTTTTTAAATGAAACTTGTTTGCAAAAAAACAAACAAAACCAAAAAAAACACCAAAAGCCCAAGTGAAAACCGCGGCGATCTGCATGATTGTAAGGGGTTCAAACATATCCGAAAAGTAAGTGACCTGCATCAGTACATCAATAGGTTAAGTGCAAATAAGATGAGAAGTGCTTCTGAAAGCTGTACATTCCCTACGTGGTCTCTTGGGTTATTTCTCAATAGCGGGATTTTTTTGTAGCCTCAGGGATTTTAGGTTTTCTGTCTGCTTTCATAACTTTTTCCCTCACAGTCCTCATGCAAGGTGAGGCTTCGTGCGGTGCCTGCGTACCTGCGGTGGGCTTTGGGAAGGAAATAGATGAGCAGTTGGCGATGCGTGGTGTTGGAGCTGTATAATTACACTGCTGTGAAGGGAGATGTGCGTTGCTGTTGTGTTGCTGATCATCGCGCAGATCTTCATGGAATACTTGGGAATATTCAAAGATTGCGTGTGTCCGCGTATGCTGAAAAACTGACTTACTTAACTAAGCTGTTACTTCATAAATCATAGAGGCAAGGAGTTTTTTAATGCGTTTCACCCCTCCTGTTTCACTGAGGATGAAGATTACTGGAGTAATTAAAAATGCCAGGGATTTTTAGAGTGAATTTGTAGATTATACGTGAAAGCCATCCGCTCCTATCCGAGGAGCTGGCGTGCAGGATCGCAGGTTTGGATCAGGCTCGGAAGTATTTTCAAGACGAGATTCCGGGCTTTCAGATACTGTGGGGACAAAGTTGTGAGCGGAGGCGGCCGGCGGCTCTGCCCGGAGCAGCGACCCGTGGGGACGCGGAGCGGGAGCAAAGGCTGCGTGCAGCCTGAGCCGTGCCGGCTGCCCCCCGCGCCCAGGGCTGCTTTAGTTATGATGTCATTCTGATAGTGGAGAGCAAATGTCTCCTGATTCTGCCATTAAACGCCTGGCTGATTTGCCTGATAATGATAGCATTGACGTCCTGCTCCTTGACAAATGCAAGCCCTATGAGCCCTATGAATTAACTTTTCTCCCATAGATGAGAGGTAGCTAGCTTTACGACTAGCAGCACTTCTCTGACAGATTGCTTGGAATCTCGTTGCAACAAACCCCTTCCCCAAACCCCGCTCGCGTCAGGCTGCTCGTGCACCCCTGTGCAGTGCGGGCCTGATGCGTGAGCTGCTGAGCTCTCAGCACTTCCACTGACTTGGGATGGAGTTGTGGGGGCCCAGCTGCTGTGATATGGGGGCCCTGTGTTCAGTTTTCCTCTTCTTTTGTTTTATTTTTGAAAGTTGGTCAGCTAAAGAGGGCTCTGTGATTTCTCGTCATTATAAAAATGCTTGTAAATAGCTTGATATGTTTGTCCTGCTCTGTTCAGTTTTTTTCCCTTTCTGCTCTCCTTTTGTAATTAATTGGATGCACTATTAAAATTTTAATCTATTGAACAGAAGAATCATAAATGAGTTGTTTAAAGTTTTCAGAATGTCGTAGGAAGAAAATGTCTCCAGTTGGTAACAAGTGCTTGGAGAATCGGCTGCTGTCTAAGCCCCTGCACTGGAAGGGAATCCTCCTGGTGCAGCTGATCCAGCCTGCAGCTGGGGACACTCTCCCTTTCTGCTCTGTCCTGAGATTTGCTTGTGACTATGAGTTTGTATCACTGCAGGTAAATGAAATTTAATATGATTTAATTTTTTTTTTTTTTTTTTTTTTTAAGTGCAACCAGCTTAAACTTTGTTTTCATTTGCTGTTTAAACGATGACAATTAACAGCTGCAGATGCAAGGAAGGTTAGTTCCTCTATTACATTTGCAGGGAACGCGTCTAAAATATTTGCATGCTCAAGCTGCCTTTTGCAAATGAGTTCCCGAAGATACAAGTTGCTGAGACAGAAATAGTGTATTAAAACACTTTTAATAATTGACTGCATCTTTATCAATTGTAGTGAAGAAAAAGGAATTGTTCTATGGGCTTTTTGACTTCTGAACGTATTGGAGCTCTCTGATACTCAGCAAGTTGTCTGGTGCTGTCTTCACTGAAGACTTTTATGTAATGAAGAGGCTGATTGTCATATTTTTGTCCATGCTGGAGGCCAATAACCCAACCCATTCATTATCGGAAGAGAGTAGCCTGGAAGTTGCAACATCAGGACCACTGTTTTGCTTGCAGCAGTGGAGTGCTGAGATCGGGAATGGTGATTTTTCAGTACAGAAACCTGGCACATGTGGTTGTTTACCCGCTATGGGAATCATAGGTGGCCAGAGATGTTTGCATTAGCACAGACATAGAAAATCCAGCAGCCCACTGGAATGGGTTTGTGCTCATTCCTGGGAAGCACAAGATTCAGCAGGCAAAGGAAAATCTGTAGGAATCGTTTTGTGTCATGTTTTGGCTTAAAGTTAACTTTGAATTGCACAGGTGTTTGTGGAGTGCTTTGCCTTAATAAATAAATAAATAAAATGCATGGTTTTAGATGAACTTTATAAAAAATTGAAGAGAAAGCCATAAATAGATTTATTTTTACAGTTTGAATAAGGACAGCTACAGCTTTTATTATCTTCTGATTTAGCGTGTTTTGATGGCACTTGTAAGTAAATTTAAATTTTAATCTCTGAATTTCTCTCAGATATGAGTAGACGTGCGTACGCTCTTCGTTACTGCTAAAAGCAGGACTGTACCGAAAAGGCATTTTTGCATTCTCTCATTTACACCTGGCATTTTTTGCCTTATTCTTTACCCTGTCTTCTTTCGGGCATTTTGTACATCTGTTTCAGAGGTGCAAGCAGTTTGGGCTCAGGGAAATAGATGAAAGAATAGACTATGTCTTTTTTTTTTAAAGAAACACAAATAAAACTTATTTCTGGCAACCGTAGATGAAAATCCACATTTCTGTAGCGATGACACTCCAGGCACAGATATTCTCTGAACAGTAAAAAAGAATGGAAGAAAACATGCAAAACCAAAATCATTCTGTAGTGCTTAATTGGATGATCTTAAGGTTATTGTACAAACGCGGGTTCCGGTTTCCAGTTGCGCAGCCAAATACAGCATACAAACTTTTTATGAGTAAGTCACTGATCAGAATCTGACCTTGGATAGAAACGAGAAAATTGTAATGATCTGATGGTGTTTGTTGCTGAACATGAAATAAATGAGTGATGCTGGTCTGCATCTGAGTGGATCACAATAACTGCTGTGACATTTTTGCTCCTGTTGGCAGGTTAAGCAAGGAAGCCAAGCACCGAGCCAGAGATCCGATGTATCTTTTCAGAAGTAGCAGCCATCAGGATGAGCAAAGAGGCATAGGAATAGGGTAGGGATCTGGGTTGCCTCTGCCCAACTGCACCAGTTCTGTGACTGAATGCACTCCCAGGGGGGAGCTGCTTCCAATATTCTGAATTTGGCACCTTTCCCTTATATTTAAATTCGCTCTAATTTTCAGGTGCATCTTACTAGATAACCAGATGCATCAAAAAAGCAAAAGAATTATAGAGCAGTAATTACAATTAGCCTTGTTGTCTGTTTTTTGAAAATTGCAAGATGGGGCCTTGAAAGTATTTTGAAATTTTTTAGAGGTCTTAATCTAAACACTCTATGCGAGATTGTTTTTTAAAGAGAAGGGTTCTTTAGGTCAAGCTGGGCTGTATTAAAGACAAACAATTTTGTTAGAATCTATCTTTTAAACACAGATGAAGAAAACAGAACTAAAATAGCCACAGCAGTCTCAGTATCCAATCTTTTCTACATTTTGCATTGCAATATTTGAGAGTCCAATAACCGAAAGGAGAACTAGGTAATTCCTCACAAGTATTTGTCATGCTATGAAAAAAGCAGTGCTGCCCGTCATGGCAGGATGTGAATGGAGAAATCTGCGGGTTGCAGTGCCTGAAAATAATGTTGGTTGCTTAGATAGCACTGCTGTAGCGTGGGGCAAGCAACAGAGCTGGCTGCTTTGACACTGGCTGCTCTGCGAGGCGTTGGTGTCCAGCTGTCCACCTGTGGCATCTCAGACTTCCAAGGGCAGCCAATTCTTGTTGTAAGGATAGAGGTTGGTGGTGTTTCTTTGTGCTCCACAGCTCCGAAGATCAGTCAGCGGTTATCCAGGTGGGCTTCCCACAATGCCAGGGGAAGGCTGCTCTGGAGGATGTGGCCCTGGCTCAGTTTTCTGGACAAGAAAAGAGAAGCAAGGGAGAATGAAAACAAGAGTATGAGCTGCCTGCTGTGGGCTGCACAGCGATGTGGGAGAGCCTGGCACAGGGGAGCTGCCTGCGGCTCCAGCTCAGCCACAGGGCATTTGAGGGAGCCTTTGGCCTCAGGTTGGTCAGAGCACTACAGTGCAGAGGGATGAGTGGCAGCCCTGCTCACTGCTTTCCAAATAAGCTGATCTCAGCCTTAATACAAATTTTGTTACAGCTTCTTTATGTTATTTCTTAACGTTATGGCAAACATCATTAAAAACTTTCCATTTTATGCCTTTGGGATGTGCTGTTAGTGTCACTGTGGATCTTTGCGACAGGTGGGAGCCATGCTGTACTCATGGATGTTCGGGAGGGGTCCCTACCACGTACCACCATCCACTTGGTCACAGCCACATGCATTACTGCCCCGCAGTCCCAGCCCCTGCTGATCCACGAGTTGCTCCTGGTGCCCATGAGGTATTGCTGTGCTAGGCTGTAGGGCTGCCCTTCCATTTCATTTGTGCAGGGATACCACAGTTTGTGTTAGTGTTGTTTTATTTCACTCTGGGAAGTTGCTCCCTATAGATCTGTTCAAACATTGTTACCATCAATCCTGTCATTGGAATATCAACAGCAGGTACAGATAAATACAGATACATCCCTTTCATATGAAATGTAGAAAAGCGTGGATAAATAGGAAACTGAAGCAGAATTACTTCATGCAAAGGATAATAAACACATGGGATAAATTACTAGCAAGGAAAGGATAAATGAGTTCAAGGGAAGCCTAAGCTTGTTTTTTGAGAAAGAGCATGTGAGAGCTGGGTGAAGAAAGCAAGGAGGTGTAAAGTCGGGTTTCTGTTAACGTAGGCTAGCATGGTGGCCTGGTCCTCATGTCCTAACGTTTGTTTTGATAGTATCACATAGATGGTTACATTTTATTTTCATGTGTGTTTGCTAACATTGACTCTATAGATCTACAAGTGTCTTTTTTCTTATGAGGTGAATAGCAATGTTAAAACTTACTTTCGGTGCCAACTTTTGGTTCTTATATTGGTGTTTTTCAAGGGAGAGATGTGACAGTGAAGTATCTTGCATTGATTGAATGAATTAGGGAGAAATCTTGTCATCTGTTGGGTAGGTCTATAACTGACAGGAATACTTTAGGAATTCCTAAAGTAGAAATCCTTCTACTTTAGGAATAAGGAATTTTTGATAGGTGTTTGTCCTGGCTAAACCACTGCACTGCTGGAACAGTTCTACAAAACAAGCAAACAAAACCCATGACAATATTTCTCTTTTTTTTTTTTTTCCTTTGTTTTTTTTTTTTTTTTTTTTTTTTCCTTGAGTTTACATGGGCATAACTCTGGGTTTCAGTCTCTGGGATGATGTCTGAGTTTTTTGAACGCTGAGTGTTGACTCAGTATTGAAACTGCAGCTACAGGTAGCTTTTCAATGAACCTTTGTTTCATTGGAATGTACCCTGCATTTTTTATTGAACTGATGTGTCTCTTCACAAAGGAAAACGCATAAAGGTTAGAAAAATTTTCATTGACTCTGGTGTGGTTTCTAGGATCCAATTCTGCACCTCTTTTTTCAGTTGGGGTAGGACTGAGACTATAGAGAAAACCTCAGTTCCATACCAGGCAAGTTTCACGTGCTTTCTAGTTTCACCACAAATAGAATGTGCAGCTCCATTGGTTATAAGCGTAGTACAAAGCCCAGTGTTGTCAAAAAGCTGGTAAGATCCTGAATAAATTTTTTTTCTAGTTTCATGATTTCAAGTGCAAAAAGAAACCCAACCTTTTAGAGTTTATAAATGCAAAGGTTATGGTCTGTCCAAAATTGAAATGTATAATACAATGACTTTATTTACCTTTTAAAGAGATCCATTCTTCATTGATTCATTGAGATTTTGCTATAGGAGTGTAATTTCTCCTAAGGCTAATAAAATAACTAGCAGAAGATAACCTAACATCTTTATTAGTACCATAATACCAGCTAAGAAAACTCTCCTGGCCTAAATACTCCCTTCTTCAGAATTTACTATGAAATTTCTTGTAAAATAGCTTAAATATTTTAAAATATCCTTGATTGTTCTAAAGAACAAAAATTTGAACATCTTTTCTTGAATACAGAAATCCAAATCTATGCGTATATGATTGATCAACGTGCTGTTAGGTAAACGAGCAGTAGGAAATCCACAACCACTTCTGGATTAGAATTTTAGTCTATCAAATGTTTTGGTAGAGTCTTTTCGTGCTAGGGGCTTTCCAAATATAGAAGTATTGTTTCTGGCCAGAATGAGCTAGAATTTTCTTATTGCAGTTGAAAAATGCCAGTTCATTAGTTTGCAGCAAGATGCTACATCTTCGAAGAATTTCTGAGGTCCACAATTGAATTTCTGCTCAAAATGAAAGAGCTGCATCTCTGCACTTCGTTATGGACTGGTGATTATGAAATGCACCTGGGTTGCTGGAGAGCTGGAGTCAGGTTGCTCCTCCCATATCTGATTTGAATCAGCTCCTTCAAATCAAGTTTCTCACATCCCAGGTGAGTGCTCTGATAACAACTTTGGCTCTCCCAGGGTGGGTCTTTTTAAGTTCCATCTTCAGGTTATTCTAATTTAAGTAATTGTTTAATGAGTCAGGAGAAGACTGTTTCCTAGCTTGAGCACTCAAGCGATCAAGTGGTGTGAGAGGCTGGGTCCTGTTTTGTTTGGTTGCAGATTCTTCTTCCTCACATTGCTGAGTATGATACGGTGAGAATGCTGATATTTTTAATGTTGTTTTACTGTTCTCTTGAAAAGTTGGAAAAGGTTGCTAATGGAATAAGAAGTCTAAAATGATTCCCTATTTAGCTGTGTGTTTCTCTCAGAGTGCTTTCAGTTCTATGATGATAGAAGTTAGTTGGTAGGGGAGCACATCTTGCAAAGAGTTTGTTTCTCAAAAAGGAGTTTTGTTGCTGTTGTTTTATTGTATGGATTGTGTACGTGAAGGATGCCTACATCCTTCTGAGATTCAAGCCTCTAACTATAGGAGGCACAGCAGGTGCTGGGTTGGACCCTTCTACTGTAAATACCTTGCACCTTTCTGTACATGTGGATGGGACTTTTCCTACTGCTAGGTGGAGAGAAATGCTTTGTAAATGCCAACAAATGCCTTAGAGAAACTGTTAGAGTTTAGATTTCCTTATAGAGAAATCTGCGTGAGATGTTAAAGACTTATGGAACTGGTAGGTTTTTCTGGCGGAATTTCTTAGGAAGGAGCAGAAAAAGTGTCTTTGACTGTAGAAGGGGGATCCATAAAGGGAGGAAACCCTTCTTTTCTTGCAGTCAGAAATAGTAATTTTGATAGCTTCTGTCTCCTCTGTCTTTCATTCTTAACTTCTCTGGCAGCACAACTCTGGCAGATCCCATGCTGAATTGGTTGGTTCCCCTTCTGGCTGCTCTGCAACAGTGGTGGATTGGAGCCAAGGGAATAAATATAGCTCTTCGTTTCAGTAGTAACCCCCTGCCAGACTTCTACACAGAAACCTGGGAGGTCACTGCAGGGAGAGGGAATGGGTGATGCAGAAGTTGGGCAGGCTCGGATCTGGCTTCTCCAGCAGAGAGTATTCCTTTAGTCCCAGGCAAAGGGGAGAGGTGCTGCAGGAACCCACCGTTGTCTTTTTTTTCTGTGCGGAGCTGATGGGATCTGTAGATATGGTTGAAAAGCAGCTACCATTGGCTGTGCAGTTTCCATGTGAGTTTATTAAATGTGAACATTTTAATATGTAAAAATAACTTCACCATTTTGTTATTTCCTCTTACGTATTTCACTCCGGTTGGAAAAATGAAATCAATCTAGTCAGCTTTTCATCAGTTTCTCTTTGGCTTCATGCAGTTGCACAATGCTGCAGTGCTTGGCTAGCAAAAATGTTTACAACGAAAAATTGTTTTCAATGGGATTAAAAAAAGAACCATGGAAACATTTTTATTGGTCTTCAATTTCTGTGCAACTTTAGTTTTTACAGGACCTAAGCTACATCGACGACGTTTCTCTGATTTTAAAATTATGCTGCCTTTTTTAATATGTGCATGCAGTGTATAGACAGGGTACAGTCCTATGTCGTGGTACAAAAAATGTGAGCCAGACTGTTTCTTAGGAGTTGGTTCAAAATCTGTGGAAATCCACTGGCACCTCATAGCTGACTTAGAAAGCCTTCAGGTCAGACCCTTACTCAGCCATGTATGTGTAAATGCCTGTTGCAGTTGGGTGAAACCACCTGAGTCATTTAGAACTGATCTGAGTTGCTGTCATCTGGCGATGCTGCAGTGTCTCTTCCTAAAGCTTAGATACATCTGTGGGGATGTCTGCAACCTTTGTTGAGGAAGCAGTGCAGTTTTCCAGGGGCCTCTGCTGCTGATAACGGAGTGATCTGACAGCAGCACCCAGAGCTTCTCTCACTGTTCTCAGGCTGTTGTCAGGCTGCCTGACTTCCAAACTACTTTCTGTGCCTTTCAGTTGCCAGCACGAACTCTTCATAGTAGGGAGAAATGGGTACTCATGGGTTACCTTTGAGAAGTAAAAGCTTTCGTCTTAGGGAGTCATGGATTTCACAACCCCAAGCTTGTAAAACACTTTACCAGTGCTTTATGAAAATTCACTGCTGAGTTCACTAATTGATGACCTAAATGAATGCTTTAATGACCGGATCCATAGCTGTCTATGACTTATATCCTGTTTTTCAGGTGTGGGCTGGATCAGTCAAATTTAACTTTTAGTTGGAGCCATCATTGCAGAAGCAAAGAGATACTCTTTTATAAATACAATTTCCAAGCCTCTTTCAGATGCCTACTGCTGATGAGCTATTTTACACTCTTACTTCTTATGTAGCAATTACATCTTCTGCAGTGAGCTCCCATTCACCGTTAAGTGAAACAACTTGCATTTGATGAAGCAACTTCTGTTGTGACATTGGCAGAGGTATTATGATCAATGATTTACATTTTTAATAAAACCAGATAGATTTGAAAACTATTTACACATGTAAAGTCTGTAATGTAATACAGTTTTCATTCCTCGCCTCTGTAGAACATCTAAAGTAGATCTGATGCCTCTAACAACCTGGCTAGTGCATATTCTTCAACTGCATGGCATTTATTCATGTACCTTTTTCAGAAGATATCGATGTTTTTAATCAGACAGGGACTATTTTTCTGCTCATACTTTGCTTTGACGAAATTTTTCTGTTGGGAGATTGAGCTTTTGAAGAAGTGTTTCATATATTTGAGTCAAAGAAAATATTACCTATTGGAGTGATAGACCCTTTTATGTTACTCCTTTACAAATACAGATTTACAAATACATCCTCAGACAATTCTTATTGTTGCTTGCTCTTCTGACACATAATATATCTTTTACTAATTGTACTTTTATTATTGATTGAAATATATTTATTCTGGAGCAAATGTTTGCTTTTCTTTTTGAAAGGCAGAATCCTCAATTTCTGATTTGTTAATGAAAATACCCTTGATTATTCCAGTTGCTTTTTTTGTTTTTTTTTAGTTTCAGTAGTTGTTTCACCTTTCTCTTTGGTGGCAGTGGTAGAGCTGCCTAAAATAGGAAGAAAACAAAACAAAAACAAAAAAAACAAAAAAAACAACAGCCAACAGAACAGAAGTTAAAGGAGAAGCACTGGCTTTCAGCATGCTTGCAGCTCCATGTAGATGTACCGGAGCTAGAGGTTGACTACAAAACATTTTTCTCAGGGTCTCTCTGTGGGTTGCCACAGTGCTAGGGAAACATGTTGTCAGGAGAAACAGGGCTGGCAGATAACATGAGGAGGAGTATCGCACATGCCTTTTCATGCTGGTTTTGAAGGCAGTTTTTTCTCCTTTCACAATCTTCTCTTATTTGAAATAGGAAATCTTTTTAAAAAGTAAAGGAGGGATGCCTCTTAAACTCTTTCTTTTCTCTGAGCTTGACTTTTTTTGTTTTTTATGTATTTGTTCAGAAAGCATTATGTGAGTAAATGGAATTTAGTATTGGTGAGCCATGTCCTCTGCCAGGCTTGGGAGCCATTTGTATCCTGTTCTGGTTCTTAGGTGTTTCTTGGCCGGCCGCTTACAGAGTGCACAATTTAGTCCCCTTTTAGTTACTTCCATTTAGGATTTGCCCCCTGTTGTGATCATTATTTAGTACTAGGACAGCTTTTTTATGTTGAGTAGGGTTCATTTATTTCTATAGAAATAAGAGGACTTAACAGCAGTGCACAATCAATATGCAAAATCCTACGAAGATAATCTGTATTTAAATGTGAACAACATTAATTCTAAACAATATTCAGCCCTTATTTAGTTTAATCATCGCTGGACATCTAGGTGACGAAGGCTCTTCTAACTTGTTAATCTATTATCAGCAGTATTGCCGACACTTAAACCCTTCGATTAGGTATCCCAGTTACCTATTATTCTATTAGGGCTTGCTGCTCTATGGTTGAAGTCCATCATGAAACTCCTTGCAAAGGCATGGATGCCCAATCCTTCTATAAGCATGTACATGTGGGGTTTGACAAGTGCACAAAGTTAATGTGAATAGGAGTTACTGAACAGTACATTTTGTAGTACGTTTGCATGTGTTATAACTCAATTATAAGAAGATATCTTATAGAAAGAACAAATTCTATAGAAAGAACAAATTGTTCTTATAGAAAGAACAAATTGCTTATGTTTGACAAACTGATCTGATAAGAACCAGGAAACTGCAAAATAGTCTCATCTTTTTGTTGTTGTTGGTTTTTTTTTTTTTCCCCCCTCGGGTTTGTGCTTAAATTTATAAGGAAGATGTTTTTAAGAAAAGTTTCTGTAGCTTTCAGGAGTTATTTAGTGCTTGTGTGGAAGATCGTATGTTCCTTCAGCTCTGAATAGCTTGTGGTTCTTAACATTTGTTTCACAAGTCCTGATACCAGATATTATAAGTGTTGCATTCACAGATGTAAAGAATGCCAGTTACAGCTGTCTAGTGAAACCTACCGCTACAGTGCTGTGACTCCACCTGTACGCTGTACTACTTGAGTTCATCTTATAAACAGCATTTATGCAGTAACATCTGAATTAGCATGGAATCAGTGGTGTTGAAACACATGTTTAGTAGTTTTGCTTAGATTGGCTGCCGAGTGTTACAGCATGTGCTTAGGTCTGTGCTGACATGTCCTCTGAAGTAAGGAAAAGTCAAAGCAGTGGAATACTCTGAAATTTGGGTCGTAGTTGTTAGTTCAAGAGTTGAAATTTATGTTGCTGAATGTAGGTGTTATGGTGTTTTGAAAACCTTCAAAGAACAGTATTATCACTTTTTAAATCTCTGTTGCTCCCATCAACAATCCATATGATTTCAAGAGTTGCATGTGGCCTTGTGTTTCTTAAATTTGCTGGAGGAGTAGGTTTTTAAAAGTGTGGTTCAAAGGAATAATTCTTTAGAGTCCTTGTGGTATTGAATTACATTCTAAAAAAAAAAAAAAAGTGTTCAATATAAACAAGTAAAGCATTCACACAAACATTAATTAAGCTCATGTCACAGATCCTTGCTTTCTGTGAAGAGTGAGAGAGCTCTTCTCCTTTGCTTTTTCTTTTCCCTTAGACTTTCCTGGCACCCTTACACTACTCCTTTCCATAGCAAAACTGCTCCAGACACCCAGAGCGACTAGGCTGGTCCCATCATTCACAACCCACTGTGGCTGCAGAGCTAACAGAGATGAGCTTCTGAAGCCCTTCCTGAGAAG